GCCCAAAGGATATAATGGTTTGGGCACGTGATGAGAAGTTCTAACTCAGAGAATCTTAAAGTGGCGACTGAATGGAAACCAACAGTAAAAAGGCCAAGAGGACGTCCAAAGAATCGATTGATAAATGGAATAAAACAGGATTTAGAGAAACTAGGGATACTAAATTAGGAAGAAAAAATAAAAGTTCGAGTGGAGTGGCATGCAGTGTCGGTGGTGGCAATTACTCTCGATGAGTTGTAATGGAAAGAAAAAGAAGAAGTGACCAAATATTACATCAAGTATAATTTATACCACATGTAAAAATAAATTGTTATAAAAATAATACCGAATTTGTGACTTTGTACAACGCCTAGATACATGTGTCATCACGCAACAATAAATTTTCAACCTTATTACACACCATACTAAGAAAAATGAGACAAATTTTACTGAAATGTCTACTAGGTACACTACTGGCTCTCGTGGTCTTTAATTATTTTACTCTAAGAAACATGAATATTACTCATGTATAAAAACTTTTTTATTTTTTATTTGGAGAAAGCGTATAATAGTGAACCAAGAGAAGTTTTAAAGTGGGAATTAATAAGAAAAGAAGTCCTAAAAAGGTACATCGCTAACGATATAGTGTAAATAGGAGAAAATATGGAAGAATTTAATCAAAGGTTAGATATGTGAAGATCAGCTCTTGAAGAAAATGATTTAAGAATAAAAAGGAGTAAGACAGAGTATACAGAATACGAATTTGACTAAGAACAACACGAGGTAGGTGAAATGAAGAGATCAGTGACAATAGGCAAAGACGTCATTGGAGAAGTGAGAGTTTTAAGTATTTAAGGTCAATTGTGCAAAAGAGTGGTGGTATTGACGAGGATGTAAGACACAGACTTAAGTGGGCGTGGTTGAAGTGGATAGAAGCGTCTGGCGTCTTATGCAATAAAAGAATTCCAATAAGGCTGAAAGGTAAATTTTTCAAGACTGTAGTGAGACCAGCTATGATGTATGATTCAGAGTGTTGGGCAGTTGATAAGAAAGTAGAGCAGAGAATAGTGTAGCAGAGTTGATAATGCTTAGATGAATGAATGGAGTGACTAGGGAAGATAGGATAAGGAATGAACATATAAGAGGGAGTATAGGTGTAACGTCAATCGTCGTTTAAGATGAGAAAATATAGACTTAGATAGTTTGGTCATGTTATGAGGAGAGAGTAATCGGAAGCGGAAAGAACAATTATAAAAATGAATGTTGAAGCAAGACCAAAAAATAAACGGAAGTATGTAATTGAATGCAATTCATAAAATTAGTATAATTTTTTTTAATAAACGAAAAATTCAACATTTTAATAATAATAAATATAATTTGAAATTATGTTTTAGATTTAACTTACGTTTTTTATTCTGGTTATTAGCTGATATATCATCTGCTTAAAAAACACAAACAATTATACATACAGAGTGACTGGTAAATTATAAACCAATTGTTACTTTCAAAATAAATACAAAAATTAAAAATTGTTTTTTTTAGTTACGTAAATTTCTTGATATATTGTCTATAATTTGCAATTTAAAATCATCCCTTTAATTTATAGGGATGACATCAGTATTTTTTCAAATGGTAACACCTATAATTTACTATTTTATTTAATATTTAATGATGTAATAATGATATTCTCATTTGTTTACTATGGTGTTGAAACCTCTATTGAAAAATGTTTAAAATCAGAGCACACTAAAAAATTACCCGAGAAAAGTTTTTTTTCTTTGTAATATAACAAGAAAAAAAAATATAATAAGATATATATAGATGTATAAGAGTACACATAATACATTAATATATATCTGTGGCTTGGTGCAAGAAGGGCCAATGTCACGTTTTGTCGAAATTGAGATTATCAGGACAATCTTATTTTTTAATTTTTGTTCTTCTGTTGATAAAACGGTCAATGTATTCGAATAAATGTGACCAACTTAGCGTAAAGATTGGCCATTTTGATTTTAACGAGGAGTTAGTGTTGTTATTTTGAAAATAAGGCTTATCAATACAATATATCAAATGGACATTTGTGACATTGGCCCTTCTTGCACCAAGCCACAGATATAATTATGTATTTTTCTATTATACGATAATAATAAATTTTATTTTTCTGTACAGTTTATTCTATCACATTTTGGTATGTTGTAGCAATTATTGAAAATTAAGAATTGTTAGTTAAAAGGGAGGAAAACGTGAAACCTAAGTAACACTTAATCTTATTTAATCTAAGTGTTATTCAAGAAGAAGCTCAACAGAATAATACTTTTATTTAATTCCTATATATTTTATTGATTTAAAAATTTGATTAAGATTTAACTTACTTTCTTCGTTTAGATTATCGCCTGGGACACCATATGATTTCAAACATAAGAACAAATAAATATATTTATATATAAACTTATAACCATATGTTTTTTAATTTGAAAAATACATTTTAATAATATTTATCAAAATATGAATCATAAGATCGAAGAGACCCTAAAAAATCGGCACAGCTTTCCTAGACTCCCTAAATTAATCATTTAAAGACTTGTTCAAATTCAAAAATAAAATTACACAAAACTTTATTTATTTCTTATGTAGATTTACTGTACGCTAATGGACATTTTTGTAGAAGTATGTCATAAAAATAACATTTGAATTCTGTTGCGGTTAATGCTCCGTGTATAGAAAACGACGCGGGACCGTGTCAATTCTTTATTAAAATATACAGTTACTTAAGTTTTAACTTACGTTGTTCATTTTGGACATCGCAATTAATACCACATGCTATCAAAATAGATATATAAAATATTATTATTTATTCTATCCTATCGTTCAATAATATATTTAATTAGATAGCTATTTATTATATCATACATTTCTGTATTGTGTATTATAACGACACTACACGTAAAAATAAATCGTTATAAAAAATGATACTGAATTTGTGACTGTGTACAACACCTGGAGACATGTCTCATCGCGCAACAATATTTTTTCAATCTTACTACACACCATACCAAGGAAAATGAGACAAATTTTACTGAAATATCTACGATGAACACTGCTGGCTCTCGTGGTCTTTAATTACTTTACTCTGTGAAACATGAATATTATTCATTGAAAAGTATAATATTTTTATGAGATAAATACTATAAAATTCATTTTTCTACCGTATTTTAAATGGGTAGACATTATCTTCTATAACTCTGCGCCACTAAAATTTTTTACTCTGAATTACGAAAACTACATTTCTTTTTCTAAAATAATACTAGTGCTTATAACTCTTGTTCGCATAAGAAATATTTAATGTTTCTGTCGGTAGCTTAAATATTTTATAGCAAACTAAAAACACTCTATTTTAGCTAACAATGTGAACTGTATTTTTACGATAAGACTTTACATTTTTCATATAAATAAAACTTTACGTACACAAGACTTACAATTCGATATCTGTTTTTCGACTGACTACTAACAAAAGAGGCTTACGACACACTACCTCCTGTCTACTCAATAATAATATAGATTTTGTATCCTCAATATCAACCAATTTTAATAGTCATAAATATAATTTGAAATGAATGATTCAGTTTTAACTTACGTTTTTCATTTTTGTTATCGGCTGGGATACCATCTGCTTAAAAAATATAAAAAATAATATATAGAGAGTGATGAATTTATTATAAACCTTTCCATTATTCGCAAAATAAGTATAATAATAGAAAAAAATGTTTATTTAATTTTAGTAACATATATTTTTTTATTTAATAGCTATAAATTACTTTTTGAAATTAGCCTTTATAAATTAAAGAGATGTCATCTTAATTTTTTTCAAAAATGGCAAAATATATAATTTACTAGCTTCTTTAACAAATTATGATGAAATATGATGAAGAATAGTAAATAACAACTTTCGGGCCAGTATTACGAAGATATTCTCATTTTAAATCTTTGCTGAGTAGAAGTATACGGCCGAGAAATGACTAAGACCAAAAATATTATCACTTTCTCATCACCACGGGACAGAATTATAATTTTTTAATAACTTTAGTCATTTTATGAATTAAATCATTATCATTAAAAAAACTAGTCAATTGTGTACGTTGCCATTTCAAATAAAAAAGTTAACACCCCTATTATAAGGGACGATTCTAAAAGGTAATTATTAGCTGATAAATCAAGAAATATATGTAAATGAAAACAGCAAAATTTTCTTTTCAATATTGTATTTATTTTGAGAATAATCGAGTGGTTTATGATAAAACGATCACTCTGTANATCGAACCCCGTACACCCAAACATAGTGTAGTGATTATGTAATGATCGAGAATCTTCGCGACGGATAGGAAACACAAAATGCATATACGCGCGAATGTTCTCGATCGATCCGTAAGAGAATCTTCTAGAACTCAACACAATATAAAAAGGCGTGACGTAACAATAACGTCTATCAGTTAGTTAACCAGTCGTCAGTTAATCGGTTAAGTAGTTAAGTACACATAGTGCATTAATATAATTTTCTTAGTGTTTAAGCAATAAACCGTTTATATTTTTTCTGCTATATAAATTAGTGTTTTTATTTATTTTAAATCAATAAGTGAAGCACCAAACATACGTTTCTACCCACTAAGCCCAGTCGTCCTATTGAAATTTAAAATAAAGTATTTGTAATGCCGTAGCATGAATCATAAGGTCGAAGAGACTCTAAAAAAGTGTTACATGCTTTCTTAGACTCCCTAAATTAATAATATAAAGATTTGTTCAAATCTAAAAATAAAACTACACAAAATATTTTTTAAATATATTTACTGTCCATTTATAGATATTTTTGTGAAAATGCCATATAAAAAAACATTTTTTTTTTTACTTCATCTTTACTATTATGTTATTCAATAATTGATTATTTACATCATCAGATTCAATAAGTTCATAATTAATTTAACTAAAAATTACTACTTGGATTCTTTTTAGAAATTCTTTTTAGATAATCATTTTGATTATCGGGTGGAATACCATATGCTTTCAACATACATAAATTAGTATACATATATAATAATTACTTCATTTATATTATCATATTGTCCAAAAATTGATTGATTTTATAATTACATTTAATAAGAAATATGAAATTCATATATCTAAATACTTTTAACGTATAAAACCAAACTATTCAACCGTATTATAAGTGAGTGGACATTATCACCTATGACACTTATTCGCTAAATTTTTGTATTCTGAATTACGAATATCACATTCCATTAAAATCATATCAGTGCGTACAATTTTTCATCGTAAAAAAAAAGTTCAATAATAATAAATATAATAGGTGTAGCATTAATCGTGGATAAGATGAAAAAAATAGACTTAAATGGTTTGGTCATTATATGAGGAGAGATGAATCGGAAACGGTAAGAACAGTTATAGAAATAAATGCTGAAGGAAGATCAAAAAAAGGTGGAGGGATGTTATTGAATGCGATATGAGGACGGCTGATATGAGCGTAGTTGATGTGGGATATCAAGTCAAGTGGGAGTTTAGGATAAAGTGTCTGACCCTAAGTAGTTGGGATTAAGGCGAAAAAAAAAGAATGAGTTATAACTAAATTATAAATTTCTAATATTTTTATTTTAAAAACAAGTTTAAGTTCTTTCAATAATTTTACTTAAATATTACAGATTCTCATACCGTATTTCTATCATTAAAAAAATTCATTGTTTCTTCACCTCCACAAAAAAATAAAAAACTTAAATATGTATTCATATACTTTGATAATAATGTTTATTACCAGAGAAGTAATTATTTTATAAGCAATTTAATTTACTAAATTGATTATAGTAATTTAGTTAAAATCCAACCACTGGATGATCTCTCCACAAGTTAATGTTTTTTTTTTTTATTACTTGTATATAATAATAATTTATATTAATTTATATTAATTGTTATTATATGAATTGTATCATTTTCTATAATAATAAAAAAAAAATTACCTGCGAAAAAAAACAAACACAAACTCAGTAAGACTGGATAATTCTGTAAAATAATGAAAACATAATTATAATCAGAATAACTTATTGTAACATTACAATGTACAGACCATTTTTATTTTTTGCCTTTTTTTTATGCTATACTTCCACAATTTTCTTTTAATAAATATCGTATCAAAAATAATTGTCTTTATAAAAGCTTATTATTGATCAAAATTTAATAAGTAAACGTTAAAACTGAATTATTTATTCACTACAATATATAAATATACAGAGTGACTAAGATATTTGGTATATATATATATATTACTAATGACTCGTTTAAACATCTCTACACTACTTAAAGACACATAAATTAAAATCAAAATATATTAAATTATCTACTGTATATTATACTTTAAGTTATAGGTTCATCAATAGATTTTATATCAAAATTTTTGAATAGTCAACTCGTAAAATGGCTTTCTATATTGATACTAACAATATTTCTTCAATTTTTTGTAATTCTAAACAAAACTTTCAGTTCACACTCGCTATTATCAGTATTTTCGATAGTATATAGAAAATTTTGTGATTCGTATTTTATTTTTATCTGTTTCCACATAGTGTGCAAAATTGTTATCATCTGAGTTAAGAGAATTAGCAACAAAATTCCATTTATTTTGATTAATTGATTATTTAGGAATAATAGAGTTATTTAATTGAATACAAATATCACTATCTTAAAACCGGCTTTTATAAATGAATTTATTATTTTCTGTTAGACTACATTTCTTTAAGATTCATCAGACAGTATTATACCTACAACGAGTATTTCATTATTTTTGATGTTATCTACTAAATTATTAATTATTATATCTTAATAAAATATTTATAATGTTCATTTGGTAGTAAAAAGTGTATCTTAGTTAAACTTAAATCAATATCATAGTTATGAGTGAATCTGTTATCAAATTTTGGACAAAAAATCATTAGGTTGCATACATTTTAGTACATAAAGTATGATGTAGTCCTATTGGGTGCAGTCTTTGTACGTAATCTCAAAAAATGTAATCAGATACCCTCAGAATTTCTTATATAAACAAAAAAAATATATTTGAATATTTGAATTCAAAACTCATTGTGCAATGGGCTGTTATGTAAAATTCAATAAAATAATAATTAACTATAAAATTAATAAGTATATAGAAATTGTAACATTTTAAACGTAGAACTCAATTGTATAACTTTTAAATTTTTAGATTAATATTTTTTACTTAGTTAATAAAAACGGTTAATTCGTTAAGTTAAGAAAAAAATTTTTTTTTTAAATTAAACATTCTTTTATTTATGTAATGATATTTTTTCAACTAAAATGTATACCTTATTTTTGTATTATTATCTGCTTTATAATATATATTTTACTAAAAAAAACAACCCAGCACAGGAGGGTCGTAGCATTGGTAACGTGGTATAGTTGAGTTAAGTATAATGATATATGACAGTGATAAAAATCACTATCATAAAAAACGCTTCGATGCAAATCATTAGATAGTGATATTATTAAAGAAAATTATTTATAGAGTCTTGGAAGCATAGATGAAAAGCAAAACATTTTTTAGCTTCAATGCGAAGCTGAGAAGCTATTAATTTTGGTATATTTTTTTCATAAATTTAACCCTTAACCTGCCCACAAGGGGAGATTTAAAATAACCACTTTTTCACAAAAAATTTTCTTTTTCAACTTAAATTTTGAAAGTGTTCCGGAAGGTCTGACGCTTTTATATATATCTTAAATTAAAGCTAATGTAATATACTTTATTATGCAAAAAAAAAATTTCGGACTTTATTTTATCTTCATGGTGAAAACAGACATCAAAGTTTATTAAAAAAATACGATTTTTGTAAAAAAATTCTTTTTTATATTTTTAACTTTATAATGCTATAACTTTTTGAAAGATGTATGGATCAATATAAATTTTTTTTTATAGATGCATGATGTCTTTACCTATCATTTGGTATATATTTTTTTTATATCTGACCCTTTACCTGCCCACAGGGGGGGATTTAAAATGAC